TATATTATACAGGAGGCATGTGTGCTTTCCGCCACTGAACTGGGGATTAGATTACACCAATAGGACTTCGCCGAACTTGCTCTTGCATATGTATCCGTCATACCTCATTCTCTTCGACGGTACGAGATATCGCAAACAACTTGAGGTTCTGTGAATCAACCTCTCGACGCTGTATTTGCAATGTACCTTTCTTAATTCTCACGGCATACAATTCACATAAAATCACGGCCTATACATTTGATGATTTTGTAATTACACCTACTGTAGGGATGGCTGCCAGTGCCAGTGTCACGAGTGCGCCTCTGAATCGCAGTACAGTTTCTGGTAAGGCCAAGAAGCGACAAAAGTTTGCTCCGAAACTGACGGGTGGGGCTAAAGTCGCCGATAAAGCACAGGTGACAGGTAGGCCTATACATGTCGATGGTAAGGCTGTTCCGGATATTGATTCCAGTACAACTGCTGATGCGGGTGCAGATTTAGGTGTGAGTACGGAGAAAAGTGTGTTGCTGACTGTAGATACAACAACTGATAAGAATGCACATATTAATATGGGCAATGGCGTCCTGGACGGCACTACGGGTGCGAAGGTGGATAAACCTCGCAGAAAAACCAAGTTTGCGCCAAAGAAGATAGCGACTACACAGAGAAAGGTAGTTGCCGCAATGAACAGATCGACTGTTGTTATGGAAACGGAGAAAGTGATCACAGAATACTCAGCTGTACGCGGATCTGGCGTACTTGCTGGAGCACTTACAGGCGAACGAATGCAAGAAGTTGGATTGGGAAAGGATGCCAACACTGAAAAACATAAAGAAAGTGTACGTGCTGACACACAGGTTGCAACTACGACAGTTTCAAACTTGCCATATGGTAGTGAAACTAAGGGCGCTGAAGTCACCACTGAAACGATACAAAGCATAGTCGCACCCACAAACCCAACAAGCACGAGTTTGAATGCAGTAGAGAGTGTGCATGAGCCTATTACTGTTTCAAAAGGTGAAATTGCTGCTACTCGCACAAACTCCAATGTCATTGAAAATACGCTTAATACAGTGGACACAAGCACAAACGCTACTGTCGCAGATATGACTACGGAAGTAGCCGTGACTAAAAAAGCGAAGCGAAGCAAGTTTGCCCCCAAGAAATTTAGTGCAAGGATACCTGCCAAAGCAACAGTTGCACAGCCTGCGGTTGTCAGTACGGTGGACACAACACACACACAGCGCAAAACCAGCGACGCACGAGAGGATACACGTGCAGCATTGGGACTATTAGGAGAAGGATCGGAGTTAGAGAGTCATACACGCGCACCACTGCCAATTGATGCGAGCCTGCGTGGTACAGGTCAGAGTGGGGCGAATGCTGAGGCACACGCGCACACAAGTGTAGTGCATGCACATGACCAGAACGAACGACATGGCTTAAAGCAAGCTCAGGACAAAAATAGGATACGAGGTGACAGCCAGGCATCTAAGGATATGATAGAAAGTGTGCTGGGGGCTGTGGAGGTGTCAGAGAAGGCTGAATGGGCGGTTGACACGGTGCTTGGAAAGGCAGCTGAGAACTCGCAGATGGTGACTATAGACCCCCCGGGATCACAGGAGGCTCGGGTGTGTATCCAGGATGTGTGGGGGGTAATGTGTGAACTCAAAGTCGGTGCAGTGGTACCACGTGAATTGTTTGCGTGTACTTGCTCACACACTTGAAGATTGTACATGCTTCGTTGTGACGCAAAATTGCATTGCAGTATGTATGTTGCTGCTTATGGTGTTGGTTGAAAGGAAGAAAACACGTATTGCTAGAGGGATGGTGTAAAGTTATCTCGGCTGCTGATATGTATATAGAATGACAACTGTGCGTGCTACACTCACGCTTACTTGTAAACCGCTAAAAGAGGTTCCGACTACATTTGATTGCAGTTGCACTCGGTTACAGTTTAACGGATTCACATCGCATTTCGAATTCAACCACTAAGCATATGTATCTACAAATTACACCAATTACAACTGAAGGCAGCTACTCCTAAACATTTATGACATATGTACGAACTAACTCGATCACAAACAAATAAACAACACAACTGAAGGCAACTACTACTACACCTTGACACCCACAGTTGGATACGGAGGATCAGAATCTGACGGTGAGCGAGACCATGGCACGCGTCGCGCAGATTGTGGCCGAGAAACGGAAGGCCAGGAAGGCCATAGATGCGCACAACCGAGACGAAGCTATCGCATCGCAAGCGATGGTAAAGCTGTCGAAAGCAGGGCCTGTAAGGCGAGAGGTACTTGTTGCGTGTGTGTGTATTGGTTCATGCGGGTATTTGCCTTGTGTATTGCTTTGGCAGGTAAGTATAAGATAAGGATATGGTGTACAGAATGGGGGAAAGGCGGGTACTAGCTTATGGGCTTGTGATTCTATACTATCTAGAGCGTATGTATACATTGGTACAAGCGAGTGTTTGACATTATGTATTGCATTGGATAGTGTGTACAAGACCCATGTTGGGCGTACAGAGTGGGGAGAGGGCGGGTAGTAATGTATGGGCTTGTGATTGTAGTATAATTGGATGGAGATCTATATGTGGGTATGCGGCATATTTACCTTTTTTGTATAGCATGCGCTCCTATTCATAGATACATGTATCGTATTGGAATTTTAACTAGCTTTGCATGTACAAAAGATCGCAACCGATCAAGATGTATTGTATCCGTACAGAGAGTATCTACGTTTTATCCCAGACGTGAATCTCCACATATCTCTCTGTTCATATCAGAATGTATCGTCTGCAGGTCTTTGATATGTCGGGACCGGAGAGCGACTACAACGGCCGGTCTTCGATGGCTTTGCCGCCACCACCAACACGCCCGACCGCAGCAACAGCACGCGTACGTTAAATTCTGCTGTGGGTATTTGGTATTGCATAATCGTTGACTTGTTTATCCACCGTTATGTACACGTTTTGTACATATATGCATCATTACATATGCGTTGTGTTTATCCATCATTGTGTACGTATTTTATGTGCATATACATCATTGCATACGTGCTGCTGTGTAGTTTGGTTCTATTGGCGTTTGTGTAGTCGATCGCTGTGTACGTTCTTACTATGTATAGGATCACTGCATATGTACCGGTGTATTCGCTTGCCGCGGTGTATACGCATCACTGTATGCGTGTTTAGGTGTGGGCTAAGTAGAATACAGCTGCACGTTATTGGTGAACGGCCCTTATCTAAGTTACAAACTACGCCAGCTCTGTGACACGTCGAACAACGCATGTATGGTGTGTTTGCCTACGACAGTGACGTGCCGTGAAATTCTATATAAGGTGCGGCTGCAGGATGTTTGCACTGTATAATGGTGTATTATGGATATGTATACACCAACACACTACTCGATATACGACTTTCTGTGTAATTGAATACACGCACATCCTCATCCGCACCAGTATTTGCCATATGTAGGCGTAGACAAGGTTGTATCTAATGGTATAAAGTCTCTCTCCAATCGAGGTGGTACACCTACATAAATTGGATTTGTTTAGTCTGTGTCGTTGTTTTCGACTCCCGAGATGCACATATCCGCCGATTGACAGTCAATTGTACTCGTTGTTTAGATGTATCATTCATGAGGAATATGGTGCAGGGCACATATGTATATATGCATTTATATATATATATATATATATGTATGTATCTTTATCTGTATCTGTGTCTGTGTCTGTGAATGTGTATGTATGTGTGTGTGTGTGTGTGTGTGTGTGTGTGTGTATGTGTGTGTGTGTGTGTACACGTGGTTGTGGGTGTGTGTGTGACATGCGTATCAATGAGTTTGGTATGGGCCATGTCTGTCGCGTCTACTTGTACATCACATGATGAACATACTTAGAAAGTAACGCACCCAATTCTACGTTTTAGTGTTATATAATTGCTGTCCTTTTCCGCCTCTATAGGGCATAGAAGCTTCTGACATGGAATCCGATGTCTACTTAACGAACGAATTCGACACTCAGCCTACGGCAAAACGCGTCCCCATCACACAGGTAGATTCCCTTCAAAGTGTTTATAGGGAGGGTGTGTTTTTTCTGTAAGTTGTGTTTGTACACTGGATTATCTTAGAAGTAGTTATTTGAAGTGTAAGTACAAGATCAGGTCCTCACAACGCACTGTCCATGCCACACTCTCCACATTAAAAGCTTTCAAGCTCTTCATCTGTGTACACACGTACACATACGAAGGGTGTAACTGCGGCTGGGTGAATGTGTTGTATGTTATGCAAAATCATTGAAACGCGTGATGGGAATCAAACACTGTACTATATATACCTTGTAAGGGGTAAAACATATTGGATAGTAGATTACAAGTACAATATCTAATTTTGACAGCAAGGATTCTTATATGATATGCGATGGATATTATATATACTTCAAAGATACACAAGGATTTGCTACGTTAGCACACATTCATACATATATTTTACAGCATGACTGCTTCCACAGGTATGTGTGTACACATGCCCATGCATGACTCGTACACACACAAACATGTGTGTAAGCAAAAGTACAAACACACATCACACTCATACAGGAAAATAGAAACTTGTGTGTATGCAAAAGTACAAAAACACATCACATTCATACATAAAAACAGCATACGCGCACGCACGCAAACCGTACGAGTCATACAAACGTGTTCGCACAAAAGTGAGAGTTCGCGGCACGTAGGCGTCTGATAAAACTTGTACACATGCAATGGCGCCATGGTTCGTACATGCTCGCTGTTGCGTGGCACTGTGCGCACAGGTCTGTGTACTCAAAAGTGAGACATCCGATACAAGCATATGTGTATTGATTATCAAATCTAGTGTAACAGGTTGCCAAAGCATATGCTTCTTTGTTTGCCGAATACAAATATAATTTAACAGAGCCATACAAGCATGAGTGCGTTTTCTACTTTTTGGAGATTGTCTGCCTTTTTCAACTACTTAGGAAAATAGATTACATTTAAGGTAGAACCTAAAAAATAATAGATTACATTAATGGTATAACATAAATTAGATTACATTTATGATGAGATAACATATAAAAAATAGATCACATCTATGGTGTAACCTAATAAAAAACAGATCACATTTATTGTATATCCTATAAAAATAGATTACATTTATGGTATAACGGTATATACTAGCCTGAGTACATCCGCTAACATTTGAAATCGTTTGCCAATGTAGGATTTGGATGTCTCAGAATGTGAAGCTGCGCCAATCGCCATCACAAAGCGACGGAAACTGATGCGAAAGGGGGAACCTGTGGAGGGCTACATTTCAAAATCATCTTCAAATGGTATTGACCGACATGTGTGTATATGTATTGTGCTAGTGTGTGTTAAAACAGACGTTGGTGTGTACGAGCTATTTATATATATGCATACGTATCATCCCAGCGCATCATTGTAATAAAAATAAACTTGCATATGATCGTACATATTCAGCCAGTATCGTACATATGAGTGTTAATGTGTAGTCATTGATTTATGTGTTCATATGTTTCCAAATATACTGCTTTATACATATTGCAAGTTTCACGTATGGAACTCGGTATCTATATTCAATAAATAGCACGAGTGCCTATCCGATACCCGCAAGGGGAATCCGCAGGGATGTAAGATCCATCCCTTCGGATCTACGAAGGTGGAGGGTGGTGGAGTAACCCTCCTACACCCCCCCCCCCTCCCACTGTGTCGGGAGATACCCCGGATACCCGGGGCAATAGGTTAAGCAATAGATTAAAAGTTCTATTGTTGTCTCTCTACTGCATGCAGGTAAGGATATGGGGGGGAGTTAGCACTCATGAGCATTGTTACTAACAGTAATTATTGATCTACTAGCTTTGGAAAAGGCGTCTAGAGCAACCATCATTGATAGGTACTAGGCGAAATTAAGTGTAATATCAGATTCTGCAAATGCAGTACATACGCGGTATTTGTATACTTATTTCTATATACCTTTTGTCTGGATATAGATGGAAGAACTGCCTTTTTAAAATTCTATCCATAACGATCATGTAGCTCACGACAGTCGGCTGTACACTGAGGATGATAGCGCTCTCCTGTTGCCGTTTTGACGCGTATCATGTATCCTGTAGCATACAAAACGTATATACATTAGTCACAAAAGCTAACTATGCTTCCGTATCATCATTACTATACGACAACGTACTTAAACATATTCAATACTTTTATTCGTATACTCTTGCTGGTTGTGTAGATGACTCAGATAGTGATGCTCCCCTATCCCTTCTGGCTGAGAATAATCGGCGCAAAAAGCCCAAAAAGAAGAGTACGTATAAGCGTAAAGCTCCGAGCAAAGCATTAACGACCACTAAGTGGGCGAAGAATCAGATAACAGATGCTTCGGACGGTGGTTTGTATACGGATATACACACAGACGCGGGGGGTGAGGATGTCATCTCGATTGACGAGCTGAAAAAGAGGGCCTTGAAGAAAGTCAAGGAGAAGGAGAAGAAACCGCGCAAAAGCAAACAGAGGTGTGTTGTGTTTGCACATTTTGAAGTGTACATGTCTCGCGAAAATGTTCCTGTAATTGTATGTCTTGGCGTCACCTGTCGCACACTTGTAGGTGCCGTTTTAATAGCCGTATACGAGTGTGTGAGTGTCCAAACAAGAAGATTTTATACTGGTCGCTAGTCCCGCGTGTGGAAGTTTTAAGGTTTAGGTTATGTAGTGCAGTTTTAGTATGTGTGTTTGGGTCTTGTACGATTAATTTTGGAGTCAGCGTTCTGCGGTATTTTGAGTATTGCGTCCACCCATATCGTTCATTGCATGATGTGCAGTGGGTTGCCGTGATGCGTGGAGTGGTTATGGTGGTGTGTTTTTGCAAGCCATATAAGAATGTTTGGATGTGCAAGGTGTTGTATTAGCAGCTATATCCTACTCTGCGGGTGTGTGTTGTGCTGGGTACCCTCGTAGTTGAAGTTGTTTAAGATACTTGTTAGATCTTTATAAAAATAGCGAATCGCATGTACGCTTGTGTCTCACGGCAACACAGTGACCGAGGTCACAGCGTAAGGAAGTAACTCTGAGCGGCTCAGGTGTGTAGCATTAAAGCACGATAGCAAGCCACGCTTAGCTTAGTAAGGTGAATACACCTAGACCCATTGGTGGTCACTTTTACCTACATAACGGATGTGCATACACGCATACATATATATAGATCGACTTTGTGATCCCCATCATCACTGCAAAGCAGTGCTTGAGATCGCAGCCAAGTGAAATCCATGATGTCGTGTAGACTGATAACAGACACACCGTGAATACATACAACTACCAATTCAAACTTTCATCGATATTCAATACACATGTCGTTATCCACCTTTACATATGTATATTGTGTTGTCTATCTTTGCATACGTATATTGTTTTTTCTACCTTTGCATATTTATATTGTATCATACATCGTTACATACGTATATTGTGTTGTCTATCTTTACATACGTATATTGTGTTATCTACCTTTGCATATGTATATTGTATCATCCATCTTTACATTCCAGTATTTTTCTATTCATCATTACAGCAAAACAGTGCGTGAGGTCCAGTCCGATGGAACCGTCACCGAAGTGATGCAGATTGATGTGGCAAAGAGATCAAGGCGTCCGGCTACCAAAACTGTAGCACTTGTTCCCCCTACAACGCTCATGAGTGAACTTGTGCACACAAATCCTATCGCGAATCCCACCAAGGTATGGGGTACTATCACTAATAATACAATTTACATTAACTTCCTAGAACACACCTCATGACATGTCAGATATGAGTCTGTGCATGACGAGTATGTACAGCGCTATTGCCACGCACCAAGCACACATCGTTCTTAAGGGAGTGTGACACACGAACCCTATATTTTACATGCATTGTTTTACTTGAGTGTGCGCTTTAAGTGCGCATGTGCGCATGTTAAATACCTTAGCTTTCAATGCTCAATTCATTTGCAACGCCAAGTCCATAGCTGAGCATAACCAGTCCTCCATCCCTTATGCTTTGCTGAGTACATCCATAGAATGCATGGCAACATTAGTAAACGTTTAAAGTATGCTTGTGCCGTGTTGAGTATGTTCATAGAATTCGTGGACTTAGAGTACACACCTACAATATGCTTGTGCACATCGTACGCACTGCATATAGTTATCTTTCCCACCCGCAATGCTTATGCATGAGCTGCATTCCACTTAGCATGCTGCCACACTTGCAAGGTTAGCGTTCAGAGCAACCTATTCATTCGGCTTAGAACCTGTCGTTGCAATGCTTGAGCTTATCGTGGATCTCACTTGTTGAATACTTGTGGATGCGCTGCTTATCATCAAATCTATGGAATCACGGTTTACGGTTACCGACGATATATCGATGGATCCAATGTAAGCAGTACACAAACATTTTTGTATCACGCACTCACTTATGCATATCTACGCACATTCACGCGCACGCACACGCATGCGCATGCGCACACTCCCACTTACACACGACAACAGCAAGAACATAAGAGACGTGAGAGGAAGAAAGTGGCTGTCAAGATCAAAACTATTGAGAAGGCACAGAAACACATACGCATACGAGTGCGTTCACTCAAGGCGCATATGGAGGGTCTCAGAGCGAAGTAAGTGAGTGGTACTGGGTTTGGAGACTTCTTTGGGGTGTTTGTTGTATTGAAATATTCTGTGATGGTACATCGATGGTTTTTAGTAGTCGCTATTCGAGTCGTAGTGGGTTTGGGGGCATTTATTAAGTATTTGTTATATTCAGTTCTTGTTTGATGACACATCAATGGTTTAATATAAGCTATTCGAGTAGTAGTGGGTATGGAGCGAGGTATTTGTTGTATTTAGTTCTTGTGTGATGACACATCGGTGATTTAATAGAAGCTATTCGAGTAGTAGTGGGTATGGAGAGAGTTGATTGCTGTATTTAGTTCTTGTGTGATGACACATCGATGATAAATGTACACAGTGCCACAGTTGCGAACCATTTTGGAGTTCAGCATGTAGTGACTTGTTCATTGATGTTCTTTAAGGATCGATTATGTATGAATGTGTGCATGTTTGCTTCCATTGTGTGTGGTACAGAGTAGTATGTCTTCATTTATTGTTCTTAATGGCCTGTACAATTTGAGACCTATTGTGTGCAGTCGATATGAATAGTAGTGTGTATACAGTTTTTGGTTCGTTGGATTACACTATTGTGACTGGTGTTTTTGCGACATATTAGTTGTTAGTGCATGCTCGCTCGATTGGAAGTACTGTTTACAAAGTGTGCACAGACACTAGTGGGCTTACCAAATGTGTATAATGTTTACATACACCTAGATAAATGTGTTTGTGTGTGTGTGTGTGTGTGTGGCTGGGTTGGGTCTGAGCGTGGGTCTGGGGATGGAGGTGTGGGTGTGTGTGGCTGGGTTGGGGATGGGGATGGAGGTGTGGGTGTGTGTTTTTCTTTTTCTTTTTGTATTTATATATAAATGTGTGTGTGTGTGTGCATGTGTGTGTGCATGTGTGTATGAGTGTGTGCGGGTATATATATAT